AGTGGTTAACTTTCTTTTCATAATCTTCTTGTAATTTTTTTAAACTTTTCCTCAATCTCTCTCCTTCGATTTTTAAAATCTTTTTTTTTTAGAAGTTCTTCTATGAATTCTTTCTGGGAAGGTGACCATTTGACATTACTCTGTGGGTTAGGAGAAGTTTTTTTTTGCTTCAGTATCCTCCTCTGAAGATGAATCCTGGTCTTTTCTATTCCCATAATAACTTTCTATGGCTGAGTTCTTTCTCCTCTGCCTGCTTTTTTTTTTTTTTTTAATTTACAGCAACTGTTGTAATGTTCTCTAGTCCTGGCTAGGGGGAATGGTGCCTCTGGCCTCAGGTCTTCCTTCAGTTCTCTCCTCTAGACAGGAACCAAAACCAAGAATTCCACCCTCCAAAAAGTGTCCACAGCCAGCGGCAGGGTGTGTGCTGGTTCCTTCTTGCCCAGGGCTGCGTCTCCAGGGCAAAGTTGGGCCTGCCATCCCTTAGCAGCAGAGGTTTTCTCAATCTTCCCCTGCTCAGAAGCTGGACTACCACACTGTCCAGGAGGTGAAAATTCCTGTGGCTGGTTCTGAGACTGGCTTCCAATCCAATTAGCCCCAGGGCTCCCTGCCTGTTGTTTCAGCTGAACTGGCCTGGAGGTGTTTACACTTCTCAGGTTTTCTTTTAATTTTCTCTGGTTGTCCCAGGAGAACTACTGTTCTCCCCAACTCTTATTTATTTTTACCACTCTAGGTTTGCTCTGAGGCACTATTTTCTCTTGTTTGTGGGGGAAGTCTGGAGAGCTTTGGAATTTTCTGACCTACTCCATCATCTTCCCAGAATCCTTTCCTATAAGGGCTCTTTTATTTCTAATCACCAATGAGAAGACTGCATAAAGCTCAGGCTTCCTGGCACTTTATTCCTGAATGAATATGACTACCATGATATCCAGGAGCTCTCCCTCCTACAAGCCTCAAAGTCATATTCTCCAACACCTATAGACTCAGAGACGGCTGAAGAAAGAATCCTGTGAATCTGGAAACAAGGTCAAGACATAAAGTTCACCTCGCGGAAAGCTTCCAGGGTTTCATGACACAGCCTCATCCCCCAAAACAGGCTATCAGCTACTCAGTCTCTGTGGCACTCTACACAGGTTTACTATTCTGGTTATAATTCTACTAAATTGTTTCAGTTACTTTCTCTATTCAGCAGTGAGGCTCCTCTTTTTTCCTTCCTTCAGCTGCTTTCTCTATCTAATTCAGATATTTCCTAAGGAAATTTTAAGTCACTCCTAATATGGAAGGACTCACTGACAATATCTCTATGGCAGGCATATCCAGGCCCACGTTTGCATCTGTTTCAAGACCCCTACTATTCTGGGGTGAAGAGCATTAAAATAAAAATAATGGCTGACATTTATATGGTGCTCTAGATTTGCAAAGAACTTTTTGTATGTTCTTATTTGATCCTTACAACACCCTCATGAGATATGTCCTGCACCTATTATTATATGCATTTTATAGATGAGGAAACTGAGGTCCCAAAGGGACCTGCCCATGGTTCCACAATGACGAACACAGCAAAGCCAGAATTAAAATACAGACCTTCAGACTCTAAGTCAAGTGCTCTGGAAGAATATTATTAACATATTTGCAAGTCTGAACATTTCACCAACCACCTGAAGAGGATGCATCAAATGCTCAACTCTGAAATTTCCTTTATTTTTAGTTTTACAGTCAGCCAACTGTCAATTATCTGAGCCAATTTCCAGGAACCTGAGTAAGAGTAATGCAAAACTGAAATAACCCCCAAATCACTTGCCTTTGGAATGTTTTTGTGGGAATTCAGAAGCTCTCAAGTAAAACAATGAAGATCCACAATGAACATTTGATCAGGAGAAGCTGGAAACCTGCCCATCTGCTCCTTCTGCTCTTCCCTTCCCTTCCCTTCCAGCTCAACATTTTGATGGAGTGAAAAGTATAACCTCACCACCACAGCAAAGCACCAATATAAGAAGACCTGCCTCCCTCAATCTGCTGCCTACTTCACACCCTCACTGGAACAACAGAGCTCCTCCTGAGCAATATAATTTATGTGAAAGTGTGTTAAAACCATAAAAATATAAGAAATAATGTTAAAGATCCAGAGATTGTAACAATGTCAATAAACTTGGGCAGAGTAAGTGACAGGATCAACAGCAATTCCAAAGTGAGAACGCATGTAAAATGTCAAAGATAGAAAGGCCATGAGGGAGCCTCTAATCTTCACCCTTCATTCTACACATGAAGAAATCAAGGCCACTGGCTTCTCCTCATAGAAAGGGAGATTCGTAAGTGGAGAGTTAACACGTTTTCTGAATAAGATTCAAGGACCATATTATGAAATGCTTAAAGTTCATTCATAAATCAGGGAAGAGGAGACAGAAAAGCAAGAAAAGGAACAAAAGAGTGCAGAAAGGAAGAAAGCAGATAGATAGACAGACAGATAGACAGACAGACATAAATAAATTTGAAAGGGAAGGGAGACTCAAATGAAAATAAAGAACCTCTGAATGTTGAGGTCCCAATGGGTAAAGTTCCCAGGCAGCTCACTCAGATGCAGCTGTTCCAGAAAAAAATGGCATAAGATCACCATCACTCATCCCAGGGGTGGAGACAGCCTTTCCCTTCCCTCTCCTCCTTCTACAGCCCCCACAGAGATTCCTTCCAGGACCAGCCTTCAGCCTCTGAGCTGCAAAGGTGAGCAGGAGCCTGTCCTCAGCCCACAGGGATGATGAGGGAACAATGAAAGTCTTATGAGCAAGGTGCACTCATCAATGGGTCCCAACAGTACCCAGGACATTAACATATGGCAATCACTCTTCCTTACACCCTGCCACTAGTTGAAACAGGAATCAAAGCAGAGAATCAAGCTTAGAATGGCAAAGCAAAGGGACCTTCAAAATCACCTAGCCCAAATTCTTCATTTCACACGATGATTACCAAGTCGAGATCAGAGCTGTAACAAGCACCAGCCAAGATGCTGTATCTTGGAAGCGGCAGCTCTTAACCCCCTGAGAATACTGTTTTAAGGCATGGCAAATGTCCAGTGTGCTGGACTCAAAAACGCCTAGCCTAGTCTACGGGCATTGCCTCAAAGGGATGAGTGCCTTCTGGAAGAGGAAGACAGTATAATATCTGCACCAAAAGTCCTCGTATGAGTGTTTGTTACAGACACCCTTCCTCCACTGCAATAATACAGAATAAGCAGGAGCCCTAGGCATGCTAGTTACAGCAGAATGGGTGTAACTGGGTCTTTATTTAGTAAAGTAAGCGTATTCTCTATATAAATGCCACAAAATGGTGGTAAAGAATACTTTACATCACTGTAAATGTCACCCAAGCATCTTCTGAATTTAGGACACAAAGGAGAGCTATTCAGTGACTAAAAATAGAATGTAAGTTCAACAGCAATCATACACAGTGCTTAAGGGAGAAAATGTTTTATATACAGAACTTCATTTAAGCCTCATAAGTATGCCTAAGTAGATGCCACAGGTATTATCTCCATTTTATTAATGAGGAAAATGAAACCCAGAGAAGTTTTGACTTGCCCAAGGTTACAGAGCTAGGAAGTGAGAGGCTAAGGATTTGAATACATATCTTTTGGCTTCATTTCTGATAACTCTTGCCACTATAAACCCCAGTAGCTTGAAGGAGAAGGAATATCATATTTTAAAACTCTGGATCCTAAATAACTAGCACAAATCCTTGCACAAAGTAGGTACCTGAAAACTTTATGAAATGAAAAATAGATCAGGATTTACTAGCTAAAAATTTCACCTATAGGCCTGACATTTAAATATATGCTATTGAATTAAAAGAGTTAAATTTTATTTGGATTATAACTAATTTTATTGGTATGGGGTATTTCAAAATCCCTTAATCAATCAATTGATCCCTCAGTAACTCTTGTCCACAACGTGCCCAGTACTTATGCCAAAATACAGTTTTGTCTGGCAGTTTTTTTGAAGGCAGCTTGTTTTGTCCAAATTCTTCATTTTTGCCAGGTGCATTACTGCTGCGTGCTCCTGCTTCCCAATTGTACAAACAAAAGAATACACGTAAACTGCTCTGCAAGCCTTAAAGCACTATGTGAACATAATCTGTTATCAGCCTCTATTTTGCTAAGTCTCTCTAAACCTACATACCAAGTTCAGCCTCCTTCTTTATTATCATTACAGTCAGAGCACTCCTCTCCTCTGATTTCTGCACACAAGAGCAAATGAAGGTCTTGCAACTCTGAGGTCATCTAGGGCATTAATCTCATAACTCAAAGGTCACCAAAGATGGCAACAACATGGGGTTTGACATTACAAGTGATATATGCAGGGCAGGTTACTCATTTAAAAATTCAAAACAACAAAGTGAAAAAAAGTACAGAATGAATACCTACCGCCAAAGGAATAGAGATAACTTTAAAAGGAAAAGAGGAAATCAGACTAAAAAAGGTAAAAAACATCAGTGTGGAAAAAAAAAGTGATAAAAATAGGAAATATAAAGGTTGAGAAATTTTGTGTAAAAAATTCATCAAAAACATTAAACAGTCTATTCTAGTTATGCTTTTTCATTGACTGGTAGAAGGAATAAAGAATGAATAGACTGGTAAAAGCTGAGGAAAGAACTGGCACAAGGAGTTCTCAGTTGTCACTGATGATGACTATTGTGTTTGGATTACAAAGCAGATTCCATCTGTCTTGAGACTCTTAAGCACACAACTATAAAATATACTTGACCAAACTCAACAATGTGTGGTTCTAGGTTTTCCCTTTAGTTGTATGTTACTGTTATTTTACATTGCAAAGAAAAGGTCCTTGGAACTTTTAATTTCATTCATACAATATTTTCAAACATTTACTCCGTCCTAATCTAGACAGCCTGCTTACCCTCACCCAGAACAAGATCTTCCCCAAATCCACAATGTCTAACATTAACCTACTTGGCAAACTTCACAGTTGTTGCATTTCGGGGCACAAAGCCTGTGTGGAACTGAATCTGAAACATCTTCATTGAAGCCATCTGGGAATGACAAACAAAAATTGTTTATGAACCTAATGAAAATATCATATTTTCAGTCCAACAAACTTCTGTCCATTTTGCTTCTCTGCTGTGGCACTGCAGTTTTGAAAATATTCCAAATAGTGGATAATGTGCAAGTTAAAATACTTTCATTTATGCTATTTAATTTTTAAAAATAATTGCCACATTTTTTTCTAACACATAATTAAAATTTACTTATACTCTTTGATCAGGTATGTTTAAAAGGCAAAGGACCTCATAAGCACAAAGCAGAATCAAGCTTGACAATTCCCACAGCATACCCATAAGAAATGCAAATATGGCATTTGCTACCAGGCAAACCTGGCAGAAAGCACGAGTAGAATTAGCATTCCAAATATATGAACTGGTCACTCAATCAGTGTCCAATAATTTGACCAAAGCATCAGTTCACCACCCATCCTCTGAGGGCTCTGAGAGTTCTCAAGACTCCCTTTATCAAGTCACTGGCCATTCTGTTTCCCACCCCACCAAAGTGTGGCTACCTACCATGCTGCTTTAGGATCTACCTTTCCCATTATCATTTTCAATTCCTCTAACTACTCCAAACAGAAATGAAAGGTGACTTTCATACTACAGTCAATTTTAGTAAAATAGAATAGTGAGTTTATTCCTGATCTTAGATTGTACACAACTCTGGTGGTTTTACCTCACTAGCACTGGAAGAAATCCCTATAGAAGCCAGCAAATACTAAGTGAAGTACTACTTGCTAACTCCAAATGATTATGTGTTGGCATACACTCATGACCAGGAAACAGAGGAATTCAAAAATACTGACACTGGGCCAACATATTCAAGTTTGCGAAAGATGGTAGAGAGATCTCATTTGAGCCTCAAAACCACTGTGAGGCAGGGACTACAAGTCTTACTCGCACTTTGGAAATGAGGCTTCTAAGGCTCAGAGAGATTGAGTTAATTAATCTGATCAGAGATAGTAACTGTCAGAAGCTGGACTTGAATCTTCCTAGCTACAAGCCTAGCACTCTAGCCACTAGGGCAACCTCTACATCAGTAGTTCTAGTTCAGCATCTAAAGATGACCACTGGCAACACTATTTTATATCTTGCCAATTACAAAACTTTCTGAGCCAAGGACTCATAATTATTGGCTGTCCCCAATGGTTTAAAACAGCATCCTCCTTGATTATTATATTTGTTACAAGGGTTTTTATTCATTTAAAATTTTTAATTTTTTAAAAAAAAAAAAGACTGCCACAAGAAACAATAGTAGGATTAACTGAGGAAGCCTGCAAGGCTGGGATGGCCACCTCCATCAGTGGTATTTCCAAAAAGCTACAAGTACTTTTAGAGAGGGGGAAGGCATGTACACAGTCTTAAAAATCAACCACAATCTAACAAAAGCCTAATTCCATGAAAGTCTGCCAGAAAATAAGGGGAATTTTATCCCAGCATACTCAGAGCTGCAGAAATGACCCAAACATTCAGGTAACTGGGGGTTTTTTACTTTAAAAATCTCAGACCTGGCTGGTAATAAATGAAAGGCCAAACACTAATGGACCAATTCCAAATTCACGTTACTAAACAGTGCTAAGACAAGACACTCGCATTTACTGTTATCAGTAACTCACAATTCTATAGTGCTTTAAGAATTACAAAGCTCTTTTCTCATAACAACCTCCTATTTATCTGGCCTATAGCTTATCTGTATATATTTGTTTACCTGCTTTCTCCCCATTAGATGTGAACTCTTGGAGAGCAAGGACTGTCCTTTACCTCTCCTTTTCATCTACAATGCTGGTACATAGTACATACTTAATAAACGCTTATTTGACTAAGAACATAGTGCCTGCCCTCGTGAACTCAAATTCTAATGTAGGAGACAACATATAAAAAACTAGGTAGATACAAGAGATATAGTGAATAGAATGAAGGCAGTCACTCTGAGAGGGGAAAGCAATATTGGGAACCTGGAAAAAGAGAAAGGACTCCTGAGGAAAGTGGGACCTGATCTAAATCTTGAGGAAAGTCAGAGAGATTAAAAGGTGACAGTGAGGGATAAAGCACGGCAGAGAGAGGAGAGACCTGAGGCTGAGAAACCAATTAGGAAGCTGGTGTAACAGACCGTGCGAGAGGTGATGAGAGCCTAAATCTGGGTGGGGGCTGCGTGAATGGAGAGAAGGGGGCATATATGAGAGAGACTGTAAAGATTAAAATGACACATTTTTGGCAACAAACTATGTGAGACGAGTTTGAGTGAGGAGTCGAAGATGATGCCAGGTTGACTGGAAGAATGGCAGTACCCTTGACAGTTAAAGGAGAGTTGGAAATATCCATAAAGCAGTTGGTGATGTGAGTCTACACAGGACACAGGAAAAAGACTAGGGCTAGAAAGATCAATCTAGGAACCATCTGCATGGGAATGATAATTAAACTCAGGGTAGCTAAGATGGCTAAGTAAGAGAGTACAGAACAGGGGTTCTTTTTTGTGTCACCTTCCCCCAGCAGTCTGGTAAAGCCTATAGACACCCTCTCAGAATAATGCTTTTAAATTCATAAAATAAAATTCACAGGATTACAAATCAAGCCAATTACATTAAAACAGTTATAAAAATAATTTTTTTTTTTAAGTTCACAGAGGAGAAGAAGGAGACAGTGGGAGAAGATGTCTAAATATGTGATATACAGACTGCATGACGTCCTGGGGAGGGGGAAAATTTTTGAACTCAAAATCTTATAAAAAGTGAACGTTGAAAACTAAAAATTAATTAATTAAAAGTAATAAAAATATAAAACTATAAAAAATAATAAATGATGTGATATGAGCAAGAAGGAAGAATAGTCTCTCTCTCTCTCTTTCTTTTTTGTGAAATATGAGGCCTCTGAGACTGATTAGATGGAGAGAGCAGTTGCCACCGGTGGCTTGAGGAAGCACAGCTGCCATGGGGAGTGGGTGAGCAACTCAACTGGGGAAATAAAGAATGTCTGCTTTGTTGCCAGAAGGACCCAGCTAAGACTGGCTAACATTTGTAGGGTACCCCAATTGGAGAGTTTTGTAATCTTTCCCAGGTCCCCACAGCAACACATGAAGACAAGTGGAAGAGGCAGGGCAGGGGCAAGGTTCAGTAAATGTGACCAGACACAGGACATGAGGGCAAAGTATTAGAGAGGGAAGGAACACACAGAGCTTCAAGGAGTCAGCATGACTTCATTATGTCTCTCAGGGAGTATTCCACGAGCTACCCTACACCCCTACGTTGGGATGGCCCAGTATTTAGTCATCCTATGGTTTAGGCCTACTACTTAGGTCAGGGCCTTACACATTATATATGCTCAGAAACACAGGTTAAACGAACAAAATAATAATGTGGTATTTTGTACAAATGGCTGATGTAGAAATCCTCTAGGGTGTGCTAACAAGTGCGTAGAGAGCTGGGCCTGCTGGTCAGGAAGACCAGAGTTCAAATTCAACTTCAGACACTTACTAGCTAGGTGACCCTGGGCAAGTCACCTAATCTGACTGCCTCTGTTTCCTCATCCATAAAAATGGGGGCAATAAAAGAACCTGCCTCTCAGAGTTGTTGTGAGGATAAAATGAGAAAATATTTGTAAAGCACTTTGCAAACTTTAAAGCACTATATACATACCATTACTGTTGTTATTTCTATATGACCATTACCTAAATTTAGGCCACATCACCTCCTGCCTGGACGATTACAACAACTTCTTAATTTGTCTTCCTACCTGAAATCACTCCCCTCTCCAAACCATTTATTTTATAAACACCTGCCAAATTAATATTCTAAGAGATAGAAATGATCATGTCACTTCCCTATTCAAAACTTTCAATGGCTCCCTAATGCATGTAGGATAAAATACAAACTCTTCACCCTGCCCTTCCCAGTTCTTCACAATCAGGCTGCCAACCTACCTTTACAGACTAATTTCCTATTTCTAGCCTCTTCATACACTCCATGTTTAAGCCAGAGTGGCTTCCTACCTGCCCAAAGGTCTTCTCTCTGTGTCTGCAAAGGCCTTGGCTGCTCTCCCTTCCCACTGCCCCCTATTAGAATTCTTAGGGTCCTTCAGGACTTACTTCAGGTACCAGTGCTTAAGGGAAGCCTTTCCTGAACCAACCCCACCCCTTCACCCTCAATTCTTACTGCGCTCTCTTTCTAAATTGCCATGTATTTACTAAGCTGCATACATGTGGTAAACTTCACTAGGGTACAATGTTTCATTTCCGTCTTGGTCTCCTCAGTGTCTTACACAATGCCTGGCACACAGTAGGCACTACATAAAGAATTTTTGAATTGAACTGAATTCTCAGTGTTCTCAAGCTACTTCATTTAGGTATCTTTGGTCTCCCCAACTCTCTCTCTCTCTCTCTCTCTCTC